CATGTACAAAGGGTGGGTAGACAATAGACAGTTGCACTAGTACTAGCGCTGGATTCACGTAATCCTCTACCAATATTGGGCCCTCGTTGGTGATGGGTCTTTGCTAAAGTAGAGGTGCTTCTTGAATTAGATCTTGAAGTGCATCCCGAATCTGATTCTGATTTTCAGCTATTACCCTTACTCTTTTCTGTTCTCCCCTGTAATGTTTGAAGGTCATTTCGATTTCAGGATCTAGTGAAACTAGTTTGATGTTGTTAGGATCTTGCATGAACTGATGCCACTCTCAGAAAAGTGAAACAGAAAGAGATCAGATAGTATAATGAATAATCAAAAACAAAAAACAAAAAGAAAAAAAAATATTGAATCTAATGTAAACTAATAAACTAAAATCAAAATTGTTATTCCCCGACAGTAGTGCGAAAAACTTGTTCAACTGAAATACACAAGTGTACGGGATCGTTGTACAAGTAATAGGAAAAGAGAGTTTCGAGTTTATCTTTCCCACGAGTAATAATGTTTAAAATATAATTCAATAGTTAGCATTAAATTTAAGTGAGTAGTAATATGAAAAGAGTGATTTTGTGGCTGTTTATATTACTTCTAATCTATACTATTAAAGCAAGTAAATTGTGGTCTTCTCGAATGTGAATACTTGTATTTGATTCATGATTCCTCCTATTTCTATCTATTTTAATTATCAATTAATAATCTAGTTAATTTCATGCATTTTTTACAACCGATAACTCTAATATGTTAAATGCTCTTTTTTCAGATATACCAACCTATAATTAATATGACCGATCCTATTTCTAGTCCGAATTTATATGAATATTATGTATTTAGTTTATGTCGTCTACATGATTGTACAAGCCATATATATTGTTTCTAATACCCATTGCCCTTGTGTTGATTTTACTACGTTTTAAACGACTAAACTTATTATGAGTATTATTACACTACAAGAAGTAACTAACTATTCAACTGATGGCAAAATAATTAAATAGTGCAATGAGAATGCAAAATTAATTAATGAGAATGCAAAATTAATTAAGAAACACCTAAATTATTCGTCATGAATTGAAATAAACAAAAATAGGGTTCCAGAATCATCCAATGTAATAGAAAAACTTAGCTAATCATCCTAAATATTGAATTAAATAAGAAAATATGGAATAACATTACCCAGATAAAGAAAGGATGGACGAAAGTGGACAAATCCACTTTCTTGAATGAAATCTTGAAAAGGGAGGAGAAATTTTCAATAGTCACGTGAAAAGCTTCCTTTGATTGATAGGGAGGTCTCTCCCACGTTTTGAATGACTTATGGTATATATAGAGTACCAAAAGATTGCATACCAAAAGTTTCCAAAACAAAATAAGGATATACAATTTTTTTCATGGAGTACGCATGATTCAAGGTGAACGTACACACAATACATGCAATTTGGCTTCAAGTAAGGTTCTTAGTGACCTTGAGTACGCATAGTATAGACTAAATTTTTCCATGTGCGTATTTTGATTATTTTCACTTGTGCTTGAACGACTAAGGTTGATGGGTGGAGACCGTCTCATCTCGGAAGACGAGGGCAAGGTTTCGAGATTTAGCGTTGAATGAAGATCCAGCTTGACTCTAAGGACGAGGCAACTCAAAATGGGTGTTAGCGACTCCGATTTTGCTGTCTCCAATTGAGTTTGTAGCATCTTCACTCTTCATTTTATGTCCCAATGTGACCGTTGAAATGTTGCAATTTAGTCCCCATAGTTTTCATTTCGCCGTTATTCTCTATTTTAGCTTGTTTTCTCCAAATCTTCATCAAATCATGATTTTTACCTAATAAACACAATATAATACAAATTAGACTATATTTCATCAAAAGAATTACAAAATGTCATTATTTAAAGTCCCAAATAAGTGTATAAAATCACTTATCAATTTACCAATTCATTCTTGCACAATACTTTTCCAATGATATTTAGGTTTTTTCGCATACACAATGGTTTCCGTATTCTTTTATCAGTTTCCACCTTCATCAAGAAAACTACATAGAGTGATTTGCGATGTCCATCTTCAACTTCAAAGCAGTTCTCGGCCTTAGCTTTGAATTTGGTGGATGTATAACTGTCACAATTCCCACTCTTTGGAAGTTTAGTCATTGATGCAAAATTCCATCTCCATCCCACATATGGATGGGCATTTTCTCGGAACCGATGGAACCAGACTAAAACAAGATAGAATCAGTCGGTTTGATTTCGGTTCCTATACTAATTGGATTGATTTTGATACCATGCATCGAGAATTTGTCGCTTCTGATCCGATTCTCGATACTGCCTTGAGAACCAATAGTGAATTCGGTTATTCTTAATTTCTCTTTTTACTTGCACCAAGATGTACTAGACTTTTGATCGCTAGATTCCAAAATTATCTTATGTCAAAATTTCATTTTTGATACCCCTTTTCTTCTTTCCTTCGTAGCAAAACATAACGGTTAATCAAAATTCGAATCTAAATAAATTTATATATACTTTACAAATTCACTTCTTTAATTCAACCTAAAAGGGAAAAAAGATATTTTCAGTTCAATATTTCATAAGAATTCAAATTTATCATCATTTCCAAAGTGACTGGCCTTCAAGAATCAAGATCCTTGAACTAATGTACTTTAATATATATTGTTATATAAATTTTCTTGAAAATTATTTTTCAATCGAGATTTTACCGTTTATATCATGTCTAATAGTTTATCCTTTTTTCGCTTTTATGAGTGGACCTTGAATTTCTGAGTGAATTTTTGTTTGAATACTACATGTCCTTTAATATATATTGTTATATAAATTTTCATGAAAATTAATTTTCAATCAAGATTTTACCGTTTATACTATGTTTAATAGTTTATCCTATCTTTCGCCTTTATGAGTTCACCTTGAATCTTGCAGTGAATTTTTGTTTGTTGCTTTTAGTTGATTTTTTATATTGTTAGATTACAAGAATGAGAAGTGATTTCGTATTCTATTTTCGTCTATTTACAATCGACAAGTAGTTTCATACTTTATATTTATAATATTTTTATTAATATAAAGAACCGGATTGGACCGAACCAAGATATTGATCCACGGATCGAACCGGATTGGACCGAACCAAGTTGTTTATGGCGGATGCAACTTCTAAACATGTTTCTTCCAGTAAGGGGAAAACATATGAACCAAGATATTGATCCACAGATTGAAGTAACTCCGGAATCGTCTCTATTGAAATGCAACTAAATGAAATTAAAGTTAGTAAAATAAAATTGAAGATCACAAATTCAATAAGTGAAGGCAAATAAAAGCAACTTTGTATATAGATATGCCACCGAAGGTCATTCGAACAAACTCTAAAACTATGTTGTTGAAAGTTAAATCCATCTCAACCAAGTTTTATACCGAACCTATGTTTCTTGTTAAACCCCCCACTGATCAAACGAAAATGTAAAAAAAAAAACATTATAAGTTTAAGCAAAAAAATAGCAAAAAAATCAATTTTAAAGAAGTGTATTGACAACAAAAAATCAATTTTAAAAATAATGGCATATTATGAAGGCAAGAAAAGTAAAACAATCACAAAAAATGGACTAATGTTTCATTTATCACTGAAGTTATACTCTCGTAACGATTTATTTACTGAACTTTAAAATGGTTTCGAGTGATCACCGAACTTTAACACATTGATTGCATCACTCACTTATCATATTTCATTAGTCATTAAACTCATATTTCCGTCACACTTTACTCATGAACTTATACTCCCATCAAGTTTTTCTTAACTTTAAAATGCTTACGAACGATCACTAAATATCAAAGATGCTTTTTAAATAAATGTCTCGATAGTTAAAAAAAAAAACAGTTTGATTAAATGTCAAAGATACTTTTTAAATATTAGTCTCTGTTTGACTCTCATTAAAATAAATTTTTATATTTCTTATACTCATTCTCAATCACACTTCATACCATAAAATATTCTGCATGTAAACTCAAAATTTTTCCTACTTTTTAATCACACATTCTTTAAAAATTTACTATACCGAACATTATTTTCTCCTAGTTTCTCTTTCTAATGACAATCAAATTGGACTTATGTATAAATTCTTGAAAATTTTAAGAAATATCATCTAGATAATTTTTTCTCATTTCTCACTTTGACATTGTTTCTAGAAAAATTTCATTTAGGGTTTCTTTTGTATTTACTAAAAAGCTAATCAAATATTGTGCCTATTTGTCAACCATTATTGAGAAGAAAATGGTGTAATGAATAGTATTTTTTGGAAAATGTGTGGTTGAAATTGAAAGAAACTTTATCGGTTTATGTGTATACTATTTTATTATTTGAATGTGTGGTAGAGATTGATTACTGTAGAAAATAATTTTTTGAAAAATGGTAGACAAACAGGGGCATTATTTCTAATTACATTTTCGATTGGATTCATAATGTTTGATGATGATTAAAATTAGATTTTTAGTAGATTGTAATAAAAGTTTTTGTAAAGTTGTGGGATCTATGAAAGATGTGGTTAATATTGATTGTTTGGCTTTAACTTGGATTAAAATCAGATTTTAATTCGGATCAAACATGAGCTTAATGAGATGCATCAACTTTTGGGTGTGTTTGAGCCCACGTTGTTTTGGAAGAATGTATTTTGAAATAGTAGATTGATGGAGAATGTGTGGTTTAAAAAGAATGAAAAATTATTGATATAACGAAAAATATAATTTTATTGAAAAATGTGTGGTTGAAAATGAGAACGAAAATTTTAATGTGGCTCCTCCAACGGAGTTAGAATTTTGTACTAAAAAATTGAAATAATAAAATTTTTAAGAAAAATAAATAGAATGATAAGAGAAGGAGAAAAAGAAAAAACAATAATGAAAACAAGAAAAAATAGGGGGGAGCGTTCAACCCTAGTTCCACTGCCACTGCTAGAAAATTTTTGGATCGGATCATCTCACAGTAAATTCAAAACACAGACATGAGACGCAGCTTAGGGAAATTCCCGTTTCCTGTGATTGGCGGCTGTGTCGGCGCCACCACCACCACTCCTTCCTTCATTTCCTCCGCTTTCTCCACCTCATCGGCCGGCAGCGGAGGCGGCGGCAGAGGCCGCGGAGGCTCCAGCATATTCCAGTTTACCGACGACGGCATCGGAAATCCCGAACCTGAGAACTCCAAAGATGAATCCCCAACAAACCCATCTCTACCGGGGCAAGGCCATGGCCGTGGCAGAGGTAAACTTATCCCTTCCTCACCTATTCTCCCTTCATTCTCTTCCTTTGTGAACAATGACGCCGTCTCTCGTGGCCGCGGCTACGGGCCCATAAACACCTCCCCTCCTTCGCCGCAACCCCAAGAACCTGAACGCGCTCGACAACAACCTGCAGTGAAACCCAATGATGGAAAACCCTTCTCGTTCATCAGAGGTGACGCCCACGATGATGAAACATCAGCTGTGTCCACTAGGTCCGGAAACCCACAAGAGAGAAGTCTTCCTTCCGACATAATTGATGTTTTACCTGGGGCGGGCCGTGGGAAACCCATGAAACCGCCTGTGGTTCCTGCTCAGAGGTCCATTTCAGAAAATCGCCATCTTCGTCCTCGACAACAGTCCAAACCTCGTGTGGTTAATGCTGAGGATAGGGCAAACTATAAGAGCTCTCCACGGGAGAAATTGAGCACAGAGGAGAAAGTGAAGAAGGCAGTGGACATATTGTCGAGGGGAGAGGAGGATGGTGGTGCAAGAGGGAGAGGTGGGTTCAGGGGAGGTAGAGGCGGGCGTGGAAGTCGAGGAAGAGGAAGATTTGGTGGAAGAGGTGGAAGGGGACAAGATAGATATCAGGATTCTGATGACGAGCCTGGTGGGCTTTACCTCGGTGACCCTGCTGAAGGAGAGAAGTTAGCTCAGAAGCTTGGCCCTGAAATCATGAATAAATTGGTCGATGGATTTGAGGAAATGTCTAGCAGGGTTTTGCCTTCCCCTGTGGATGATGCTTATTTGGATGCACTTCACACTAACTTAATGGTAATGCATTTTCCGGTTTTTTATTGTTGGATTGGCACTATAAGATTAGCTCAGCTGGTTTGTTTCATTGGGATTTGGTGTACAGATTGAATGTGAACCAGAATACCTGATGGAAGAGTTTGGCACAAATCCAGATATTGATGAGAAACCTCCAATTTCTCTTAGGGATGCACTTGAGAAAATGAAGCCATTCCTCATGACATATGAAGGGATTCAGAGTCAAGAAGAGTGGGAGGTATAGACACCTAAATATTTTGCTCGTCTTGTTGAAACATGGTATTACTTAATTTGTCTCCTACCTTGCTCTATTCTCTTTATTGGATGTACTTTGATACCTGCAATGATTTATTATTAGATTAAGAAATTAAGTAATATAACTACATTCTTTAGTTTGCTGTTTGATAGATGCTTTATTAATGCACTTTGACATTGTTGTTCTAGAAATTTATTGAACTTGACTGTTAAATATGAGTCTTAGGTCTTTCCCTTTCACTTACTAGTATGCTGATGCTTCTTCCATTACATATCACTAGTCAGCTACAATCTGCTCCCATTTTTTGTTACTTACACTGTCCCTCCATTTAATTCCTGGACCTTGAAGTTATTTTGGAACAACGATTTAATTTCTTAACTTGATACAGTTGTAAACACATGATATTTGACTCACTCATGCCAATTTTCTGTTGATGATACAGAAATTGATGCTATACATTATATAACGATTGCCATATTTTTTTACTTTATCTGTCAGTTATAATTTCGATAGCTGTAAAGCAATGATGACAACTAATCAATCTTTGAGATCAAACTGTCATCCAGATATTCTTCACACTAATGCACTGCAGACAGTACAAATTCTTTTGGATTTTCGTTTAGAAATTTTGTTTTGAGGCTGCATATTAAGGCTTTATCTATGTTATTTTAGCAGTTAATTAGTGATATTGAGGTATTAGAAACCATAAAGCTTCATTGAGATGCCAGTTCATTTAACCTGATACCTTCTCTTCATAATTGTGGTGTTGCATTTTGGATTTCTTCTGTCTTCTTTTTTCACGTTGTGACATGTAGTTACATTAGATTACATTTTCTCTTTGGTTTATATGATTCTGGAAGGCAGTTGTATACGGATTGTGTTCCTTGTTGTTTACTTTTTTTTTTTTTTGATAAGTAAAGAAACTTTCATTGAAAAGGTCCCAGTATAGAAGTATACAAAAGGACAAAGGAATCAAATAGTACAATGATCCAACAAGTCTCTAAGAGAGCTGATGGAGAGAAAACCCAAGCCCTTAACCCACTCGAACAATACATAAAAGAAACTACTCTTCAACTCCGGAATGGAGATCTCAATATCCTAAAAAAATGCGAGCGTTTTGTTCCCTCCAAACACACCAAAAAACACAGTGTGGAATAACCCTCCACACCAAGGAAGTCCTACTACTACCGCTAGGCCCCTGCTAACATGAAAGAAGATCGAAAACTGTTCTCGGCATGACCCACTGGACCCCAAACAAAGCAAACACCATATCCCACAATTCCCGAGCTAGCTTGCAGTGAAGAAGAACATGATCAGGACTCTCTCCACTCTCCCTACATAAACAACACCAATCAACCAAGATAAGGCCACGCTTACGAAGGTTATCAATAGTCAAGATCTTCCCCAGTGCTGCGGTCCAAGAGAAGAAAGCCACACGGTGAGGGACCTTGGATTTCCACACACACTTCCAAGGGAAAGTTCTAAGAGATGGGGAGCTCAAGTAGCGATAGCAACCCTTAACGGTAAAAGCCTTAGAAACTGGAGAACCCCAACTAATCAAATCCTCCCCTCTACCTTGCACCGGAATAGAATAAAGGAGTTCCATGAAGGAAGATATGGACTCAAACTCCCAATCCTGCACACTCCGAGTGAAAAGCACATCCCAATGAAGAATACCATTAGCGTGAGACATGAGAGCGGCTACTGACACATTTCTGTCAAGGGCGATAGAAAATAGCTCCGGATAAGCCTCCTCTAATGGCACATGACCACACCACCTATCATACCAAAATTTCACCCGAGATCCATCCCTCACCAAATAAAACAATTGTTTAGAGAACAAAGGCCAGCCTTGGTGAATTGATTTCCATAAACTCACCCCATGAGAATCCCCCACTTCCTTTTACACCAACCCCCCCAATCACTGCCATATTTAGCAGCCACCACTTGACGCCAAAGAGCATCCCTCTCCATACCAAAACGCCACAACCACTTGCATAAAAGGGCCCTATTGAAACGTTGAAGATCCTTCACCCCCAACCCTCCATTTTGAATAGTCTCGCAAACTTGTGACCACGAAACTAAGTGGAATCTTGTCTCCTCCCCCATGCCAGACCAAAGAAAGTGCCTCTGGATCCTCTCTATGCGATGTGCCACCCCAGCCGGAATAGGGAATAGCGATAGAAAGTAAGTGGGTAAACTAGAGATAGTACTCTTAATTAACGTCACCTTCCCCCCTTTAGATAAATAAAGACGTTTCCATCCTGCTAAGCGCTTCTCCATACGCTCAATAATCAGATTCCAAATCGATTTGGCCTTGAAGGAAGCACCCAAAGGCATCCCCAAATATTTCATTGGAAGAGACGCAGTCTGACAGCCCAAAATAAAAGCTAAGGCCTCCAGATTAGGGACCTCGCCCATAGGAACCATCTCAGACTTGCTCAAGTTAATCTTCAGCCCAGAGACCGCCTCAAACCACAAAAAAACAGAACGCAAATGCTCCAATTAAATCGGGTCAGCATCACAGAAAATCAATGTATCATCCGCAAAAAGTAGATAAGATATCCAAACTTGGTGCTCATGAGGGGAACCCACCATGAAACCTGAAAAAAGACCTCCACTGATAGCCCAGTCCATAATCCGACTAAGCGCCTCCATAACAATAACAAAAAGTAAGGGGGCTAACGGATCTCCTTGCCTTAGACCCCTCAAACTCGCGAAAAAACCACTCGGGCTACCATTAATTAGGATGGAAAATCGAACCGTAGTAATGCAAAAGCGAATCCACGAAATCCATAACTGTGAAAATCCGCATCTCCGAAGCAAATACAGGAGGAACTCCCAATTAACATGATCATAGGCTTTTTCCACATCAAGTTTGCACAAGACACAAGGCTCCCCCTTCTTTAGTCTACTATTCAGGCATTCACTAGCTATAAGAGCATAGTCCAAAATCTGTCTCCCCTGAACAAAAGCGTTCTGAGATGATGAGATGATCTTTGGCAGCACCAAGCTCATCCTGTTTGCCAAAATTTTTGCCAAGATCTTGTAAAACCCGCTCACCAGACTGATAGGACGGAAATCCTTCACCTCCACCGCACCCACCTTTTTAGGAATAAGAGCTAGAAATGTAGCATTGAGACTTTTTTCAAATGATCCAGACCCATGAAAAGCCCTCAAAACAGCCATGATATCTGATTGTACAACAGCCCAACAGGCTTGAAAGAAGGCCATAGAGAAGCCATCCGGCCCTGGAGCTTTATCTCCATTAAACCCTTGAATAACTCCCAGCACTTCCTCTTCCTCAAAGGGTCTCCCTAACCAATCCGAATCCTCAGTTGAGATCACAGAAAATTCAAGGCCATCAAGCATCGGTCTCCTAAATTCCCCTTCCTGGTATAAATCTTGATAGAACCGAGTAATACCCGTCGAAATTGTCTCGTGATCAGTTGATAACACTCCATTAATCATCAGAGAAGAGATGGAGTTATGCCTGCGATGTGAATTAGCAATGCGATGAAAAAACTTGGTATTTTTGTCAACTTCTTGTAACCAAATGGCTCGAGATTTCTGGCGCCAGTTGATCTCCTCTTGCAGAAAAGACCTTTCCAACTCCTCCATAAGCCTAATTTTCTGATCTTTCTTTTCGCTAGATAGAGGCCTTAATTCCGCCTCCCCATCCAGTACATTGAGTTCAGACAGAGCTTGCATCTTCCTATTCTGAACATTACCAAAAACCTCCACATTCCATTTGTTCAAATCTAGTTTAAGGGCCCTCAGTTTCCTAGCCCGAACGAAGCTAGGTGTGCCTTCAAAGTGATAAGACTCCCACCATCCTTTCACCTGATCCACAAGACCCTCCGATTTCAGCCACATATTTTCAAAACGAAAGGGTCTCTTACCTCTAGAAAAGTCTCCGCACTCCAACATTATAGGATAATGATCAGACAAAAGTCTAGTGAGACGCTTTTGATGGATAGCTGAAAAATGGTCCTCCCAATCGGTTGAAAACAAGAATCTATCTATACGAGACATGGAGACATCTGTATGATTATTGGACCAGGTGAAGCTGCCTCCCTCCAATGGAATATCCATAAGCCCAAAAAGAGAGATGAAATCCGAAAAATCCTGCATAGCTGGAGTGAACACTTCCCCCCCCTTCGTTGGAAAGCGGATAACATTGAAATCCCCTCCAACACACCACGGGATGCCCTACCAACTAGCCAAACCAGCCAACTCATCCCACATCAAAGACCTCTCCCTGTCAGTTTGTGGTCCATACACCCCAGAAAAAGCCCATTCAAACTGATCAATGACTCCCCTGAATCTGCAAGAAACCGAAAAATCACCCACGGCTTCATCAATTTTTCCACCACCCTACGATCCCACATCAGCAATATACCCCCAGAGGCACCAACAGAACGAAGAAACATCCAATCCACATGATGTATACCCCACAAACTACGAACCAGTCTTCTAGAGACCAATTCGATTTGTCTCCTGAAGGAAAATAATATCAGCTCCCCATTGCTTAATTAAGCTTCTAACCTGGATCTGTTTGTCCCTATCATTAAGCCCCCGAACATTCCAAGAGAGAATTTTAACATTCATTTGGATAAAATCAAGGCCCTATCCCTGTTGTTGCCTCTGCAACGTGCCGACCCAACATCATAATTGATAGTACTAACCAGGGCTTTTAACTCCCTGCACACCTTCCTCCCTGATTTGCCAGGCTTATGAGAAGCTTCCCCCTACTTACCGAGTTAGTGCGGCGGGAGTCAATGGATTTCAGAAGAGCAAGAACGTCATCCTCATACCCCTCGTAAGAAGCACCCACAAATTCTCCAAAAAGTTGAAATTTGCCCAACACCCATTCCGAAGGAGAAGAAATCCCTGTAGCCTCTCCCAGTTCGAGAGACCCATCCTCATCTTGATGATCCACTGATGCCGACGGGATCACGTCCAGGGGCTCTTCCTCCCCCTGCCAACACACAACTGCACCATCCCCCTTAGAGAAATCTGAATCGGCCCCCGCCACTGACTCACCCTCATCGTCCCCTTCATCACCACTAAACCCATCCGAAAACCCAGAACCACCAGCCGCACACACCATCTCCCCCAACCCACCTGGCATAGTAGGCTCCAACTGAATCTCACCCAAGTGTGGTCGAAGAAGGGAAACGGGAATGGACAGCCGTCGCCCACCACGAAGTTCAAGAACCCAGTCTGATGAAGATCCCCATGTACGCGTGATGACCTCGCCGGATGTGGAACCAGATCGTTACCCATATCGGAACTCCTCGCATTTCTCTGAGAGGCGATAGAGGGAGTCGAATCCGTAGCTGGGACAGTGGACTGTGAAGTCAACCCGGACTTCTTCGTGATGTTATGCGTTGATTTGGGCTTGGGGACTGATTTAGGCCTCCACACCAATTTGGGCTTAATGGGTTTCTACAAACGCATCCTCGTGCGTGGTCCCTTAGGCTTTAAGCCAATTTCAGAAATGGGCTTCATAGGGCACGCTTCTGGGCCTTTTATGGGTCCAAGGGCTTGGGCATGCTTAACCCCCCAAACCCCATCTAGCCCACGTTCACTTTGAATATTCAAAGATATTGGAACCATCCCCAAATCTGTCCCAGAACTGGCAAGATCAGAATTTGCCATATTTGGAGTCAAATTTTCTATTTTTGGTTGAGAATCCTGCAAAATCTTCGGCCCAACTCCTTGAGTAAAATCCGGCTGCTTTCCATTTATAGATCCGGCAACTGTGACGGTGGAGGAAACTACCGCCGCATACGAGCCTTTGCCCTTCACGGTGTCTGCCCCATTCTTCTGCAATTTCATCGGAACAGGAACAGGATACGCCCCCGTTTCACGAAGCTCTACTTCAGTTGTAGAGTGACGGCGTAACTCCAGCCCAAACCCACGCCAACCATTGCTATATCTCCCTTCCGGAATAATAATTGCCCCCTTACGCCCACCTCTATGAATTTCCTGTAGCAAAATAAATCTGCCTTTCGAATTCGAACGACGTTGCAAGAGAAGGATAATGTCACCCATCCGAAAGGTTCGAACGAAAGACTCAATATTCGGTTTAGAAATGAGATCGTTGATGGCGCCAGCCACCCTAAAAGCACATTCTCGCCCCATAACAACTGAACGAACAACATCCCTACCCATCTCATTAACACGAACTCGAGGCACCCCGCCTCTTTCAATAAGGAATTCGAAGGTTTTGGATTCAATGGACAAAAACCGTAAACCACCCATTCTCACCCTGGAATTCTCATGAAACGTAATCAAGTCAGAACATAGACTTGGATGTTCTCCTAGCTCACAAAGGTAAAAAAAAACTCAATCCTTGTTGTTTACTTTGTTCTCGAAATTCTCTTATATGTAAAAAGAAAGAAACCATATGTGATCTGCTTAGCTACTTGTAAAATCTGGGCCGTTACATGCCACTTTTCCACACTAGTGGAGGTTTTCACCAACATCACTTGTCAGTCAAAGGATCTTTCACATTCTGTTATTTTCTTTAATTTTCCTGGCCTTTTCTTGGTCTTTTTTTCTTTGTGGTCCCCCAACCGCCAAAGAATAGAAGGAAATAATAAGGGTCTGTTTTCAAGATTTAAGACCCAAAGCATGATAAATGAGAATAGGATTTGTAAATGATGTGCGTGGTATAAAGAAAATGGATATTTTTATCGTTTTACATTCACTTTGTATTTTTGCATTCACATTTTGAAATCGGCTTCTGCACAGAACTGTATTTATATGCCTTCAGAGTGCTCATTTAATTTCTCATTTTTGTTGAAATTTATGCGACTCCACTGGATTTTTAGCAGTCGAAAATTTGTTTGAAGGATAGTTTATAAATGGTTATACGACTTAGAGCATGTTTGGCTAAGCCTAAAAAATTAACAAAGTTACTTAAAAGTAGCTTCTAAGTTCCAACAAATGACGTACTGGTTTTTCTTTAAAAGAGATACTTCTTTAAAAATGTGTAGATTTAAGGGAAATGTGTTCCTTTTTTTTTTTTAATGACTAGCCAAACATGCTCTATTTGCTGTTTTCTCTGCATTATCTTTAGAATAATGCTTTGTGTACAATCCATGGTTGACAAGAAATTTGACAATCCATGTTAATTCAAATTCGAATGGGCGGGAAAGTGTGTAGTGTTTAAAAATTGGCCACTCAACCTTCAACATGTGGCACATTTTCAAACTTGATGTCAAAAAAATTGTACTTGTAGCATGGTTGTTATCTTTATCTTATTTTATATTCTTCCAGCTATGTGGATTAATGTGTTCTCTGAGCTTGTTACGTAGGATCCACACACATTAAAAGCTTAGCCAAGCAAGTACTAAGCCCTTGTTTGAGCTCCATTACTTGAAAAAAAATTGATTTTGGAATAGTGTTTTTGGGTTTACTTAGAAGGTAAGGAAAATTTTTGGGTTTACGTATAATATTGTTTTATTGAGTGAATGGGTGTGTGATAAAAGGAGGGAGAAAAATAAATTAAATTTTAATGGGAGCCCAACAGGTGCTAAATAAGAAGCGATTGTAGTTGTTTCCTGTGGGAGAACATGGCTCTTGCTTTTTGTTACCTGTATTTATGATGTCTTTTTTCCTTTTCATGTCCTCTTGAATTATAAAAAATTTCAGTTGCTTCTTCCAAAGGCAGCCTACATTTGCAGGGTTACTAAAGTTTCTAATTTCAGCTTTCTATTAACATGGGAATTATCAGTTCTTAATTTTGGGCATTTACATGTTTCTTTTTACCTTCCTCGGATTAACTATTTGTAGTTGATTTGACTTTGCACTTTATAGGAAGCCATTGAGGAAACCATGAAAAATGTTCCTCTTATGGAAAAAATTGTAGACTACTATAGTGGACCTAATAGAGTTACTGCTAAGCAACAGCAACAAGAGCTAGAAAGGGTAGCCAAGACTATCCCAGAAAATAAGCCCGCTTCTGTAAAGAATTTTGTCAATCGTGCCGTCCTTTCTCTGCAGGTTAGTTATTATTTCTTAACATTTAGATTTCTCCCCTGGTTCATTTCTCTATATTTCTTTTCTTATTCTTATAAGTGGAATCTTAACTAGTCACTCTAATTTATGGGCACATTGTATATGATCTTCAATCTGATGCATGTGATTGCAATTCTTAAGTTTGGCCTGTTGGCACCCCACATAGGAAATATGAGTATTGTATGGCACAAGGAAGTCTACTGTTTTCTGGAGTAGATAAAAATACTCGTATCTTTATTTGGAATGACAATAAATAGGCCTTAGCAATATTATATTTACTTGAGCATATAGGAAAAAGTTGAAGTAAAAGACTAAATAAAAAAGTTAGTTCTACTGGTCTAGATTGGTTGCAAGTATCTAAAATGTTTTCCAGGAAAGACAAGAAAAAGGAAGGCTAACATAATTTCAGAACTAATTACTTCAAATAAGTTCATGTGTATTTTTTTAGTTTTTTTTTCAATCTTACCTAGCAAATAATATGATAAAATATCAAATGCATGTTGTTGCTTCTGAATGTGTTATGGATACAAGGGTTAGGAATATTGTTTTTAGTTTTCAACTTTACCATTTGTGTTTGTGAAAACTTTGCAAATCTTTTTCTTATTTTGATTCAATCATGCTAATCATGAATTTGAAACTCCGTCAACATTGCATCATCCTTTTACAAAATTGTCTCTGTATTAACATATCTTTTCGCGATCAAGATCCTGGCATATTTATTTGTGTCTCCTAGGCCGTCCTCTTTTTTTTTTTTTTATCTTTTTCTTTTTTTTTAAATTCTGTTTGGTTTTATGTTATGTTCATATAAGTCTGCAGGTCTTGATGCAAAATCCTAAAGCCAAAGGGTGGAACTTTCAAGTCTTTTTGACACTCTTCTGAAGTGTTTACCTTTTTAATTCTCCTCATTTTCCTGATTTTTGCTAAAATCAAACATTGCAGAGCAACCCAGGTTGGGGATTCGACAAGAAATGCCAATTTATGGACAAGCTAGTATTGGAGGTTTCCCAGCCTTCTAAATAAGCATGGTATTCCCGGTTCTCAAAACAGATTCTAGCTTAAAGATGTGGTTCGCGTTCCTCATCATGCAAGATCACCAGGAGGATTTTCATGTAGTCAGTCTAGAAAAGATGAGTTCTATTCCTTTCCCGTGAGAAATATTTCATAATTCTATGGACATCAGCAAATGAAATCTCGAGGAACTTAAAGCTTGTAATAATTTTTGTTCCAAGAAGACTAGTTTGATCCCTTTCCCTTCAGAAATATTTCTAAGGCGAATGAAATCCGTAGCAACTTAAAGCTTGCAATAACTTTACTTCAAATTGTTCTTTTCCAATTACAACAGGCAATATTTATTCGTATGCTATGATTCTTTATTTGTACAAACAAGAAGCTGGTGAGATCTTTTCCTGCCACAGTAATAGCGAAGGGTATTATTTAAATAAATTTTAGAAATATTTGTATGGTGGATCGTGTGATTATAGTGCTATTTTGTTTGGTGCCATAGAAGCTACTGGACCCAGTTTCATTATTTTCAGGCTCTTTCATTCCATTTAAAGGCAATGGGTCCTCGGGCAATTCTTGCCCATTTACATTGAATTTTCAAGTTCTAATAGTGTAAATTCAAATTGCCGTATTGCATTATATGAAAACGATAGATAACTTTAAATAAAAGGATAAGATAACTTTACATATGGTAAGGCATTACTTATTTCCTTTAGTCTTGATCAATTGATTACCCTGGGATTATGTGAATTTCCCGTGTCCGAATTGGCTATTCCATTCTCCAGTTGCCTTGGCCTACCACTCTTCAGGCTTTCGATTGCTAACCCAATGTTCCTCTACTTACCGTTTAACAAAAACATGGATACTTCTCACATGTTCCAGGCTATTCAAATGTTCAATCGAGATGAAAGGTGCCTTTGAGGAATTTGCAACAGATCCGAAGGAATTGATAAAACACAGTATTCAAATGTAATAGAATGGATAGATATTTTGATTTCTAATATCTTGGGTATATTTCTTTCATTTTATTATTATTTTATTAGAGGGATTTCTCTTGATTGAATACTGAAAAAGAAGATCATCCCCTTTGTGTTATAAATACAGATACGCCCATACATCGAAACTCATTGCTAGTACCAAAGTCACTGAATGAGTAAGTCATCACTCATCAATCCCTGGACATCAAGAAATGAAACAGTTGAGCATCCCGAGTTTTGCATCTCTCTTCGAGGAGAATAAGACCTTCCCTTTGTTTTGATTCTTCATTTCAAGTTGCAATGAACAAAATTTGGCATATTTTTGGCAAACAGTTGTACTGAACAATATATTTAACAGAACGGTATACATTAACTATAAAACGTAGTCTTATGCAGTATTTACTCGTGCTCCATTCTTCTGCTCCTCTTCATCTATGGTATCGCACAACGTCCTTCCCCTTGTTTCCGGTAGGAATGCAACGAACAAACCACACACAGCTATTGTTAACCCGAACACACCATATGAAAGAAACCCATTCTTTCTACCAGCAGCCACCAGCAGGGGGCCAAAAACCCCACCAAGCACTACGGCCTGCCTCACCATTGACACAGCTGAGTTCCTCATGCACGTAGGAAACAACTCCAAACTATAAATCAGCACCAGATCGAATGCGGTGACTGCGCAAAAAAACGACACAAGCTCCAGCCCAATCTGCATTCCTTTCCACCTAACCATCACACATGTCACACTACAAATTCCACTCAAAAGAGTTAATCCCAATATTGAAATCTTCCTGTCCAGTTTCCCAGTAAGAAAGAATACGAGTAATGAGGCTGGAAATTCTAGTAACGCATTTAGTGCGACACTCCAGTACAGATTAAATTCCAAGTTGCCAAGGCCTAATGGCATGCCATAATAAAGTATGCCAGCTCCAAAGCCAACCACCATAATCGACACCAGTCGCCAGAAAGCCCAAGATTTTTGCAACAAGATCTTTATTGCAGAGTACAAGTCTGTTTCTTGCGATTCTTCTTCCCACTCAACCCCCCTGCCGAAGAAGCTGTCAGTTAAGCTGCTCCGATTTGTGGGTGCAGCGATGCTTCTTAGTGTTTTGGCGAATTCTTCCTTCCGGCCCTTGATATAAAGCCATCGGGGAGATTCATGAATTAGAAAATACAACAATACAGAGTAAAACACCGATGGAACAGAAGTCCACAGGTAGAGAAGTCTCCACGAGGAACGTCTCGTCAGATAAGCAATACCAGGTAAAGAAAGAAACCCTAGAGTAAAACAGATGAATCCTATTATCCCAACATTTCCTCTCCATTTTTTCCCAACAAGTTCCGTTGACAAAACAAGAGCACAAGTGCCGATGGTTGACCTACCAAATCCACTGATAAATCTCAAAGTGGTATACATCCATAAGTTGATAGAGAGTGTGGTTAAGACTCCAGTTAGAGACATGAGCAAACAAGATAGAATAAGCAAGTTCTTCCGGCCCAAAGAGGAGTCCGCCAGGGTTGCAAGGACAAATCCACCGGCTAGGCAGCCCAGAAAGAAGGACGATGCCGGGAGCCCAGTGATGATGGAACCAGAACACTCTAGGGACCAGTCGGAGATGATGGAAGTGTGAGCAGGCAAATCCCAGTTCCAAGAATCTCTTGGAATTTGGCAGATATTATTGCATGAGGAACTACTGGGCGAAGTGCAGTGCCATGTTGGCTCAGCATCAGTAAAAACACTGATGAAGGTTTGTAGTGCATCGAAAAACCAGGCGAAGGATACAAGGGTGGCTTGAAAGAACTGCGTCCACAGGCAGTCCCCGATACACCGTTCAATCGCGTCATCTAAGGACGGCTGTTGTTTCACGATTTTTGGGGACTCAGACTCTGGCGTGTTACTTTGCAGGAGCAAGGAATTTGGATCAGCCATTTTTGTAGAGAGAAATCAGCGTCAAAGTCTTCTATACAAAGAGCCTTGGCTTCAGTCTGGTGTACTGTGCACGTGGTTTTTGTAGCAAGTAAATGACGGTAGTTCATAGGAAAAAACTAATGCACGGTTAGCGGGGTAGGGTAAAGTTCATTTCAATTGGAACAACTCTGTCGGATATTTATGTGTGCAAGTACAAATTCTTTCCTGAGAAGCACTACATGTGCAAAGGTTTTTTAACACAATCAATACACGGGATCACTTGTACGTGGGGATTTTTCCTTCTTTCTTTTGAATTTTACACGCTACTTGTATGTTCTTGAAATAAAGACGCGTCAAGTCGGTTCGATTCATCATGTTATCTCTCTAATAGAAATGATTTTATGACAATAGTGAGCAGAAATTATAATGCCCACTTCATGTGAAGTTGTCACGTCAACAGATCAAACATTTTTTTTTTCGAAAAGTCAAAAAAATATGACTTGACTTCTTACATGAAAATGTCACGTCAACTGTGGACAGTTGTTATCGTGTCCACTGTGAACAGGAGATCAGTCCCGATCTTTCTATTTTTGGTAAATGGTCAGAAGTCAAGTTACATACTTTTTTGGACTATGCAACATGTACATGAATGTTGAACTTTAGCTTACACCCATATGTGTTGGTAGATTTTGTACATTGATCTTGATAACACATTTTTCAATCAACTACCAGATTTTTGACACATAGAGAGGTGTCAATCAAGGTGTATACATTGTGTGTACACGTAGTGATTTGATTAAGAAAGAAATTAGTCTGTCACTAAATGGAAAAAAGAGAAAAAAATATTGATCGTCTACAATTTGTTGAGAGATTCACGTTAACCATTAAAAATTTGAAACATGCTTACTAGTCTATTCAAAGTGTGGGCTATGATGTGGCTTGTGCCAAGTAGAATCTCTTTTCATCTTATTGCTTGTCTGGTTGTGTGCGTACGTGTGCTCGCCACTTAACTCGAGTGGTTTAAGAAAACTTTCATTGGCTAATAACAATATTAATTACCTCTGCTCACCTAACTTGGTGACGGATAAGGGACGTAAAACTAGATTTATTAATTACCCCAATATACAGGACACGTTTGTCAATTTTGAAAGTCATGTCACTTGATGGCGAGTCACTGTCACAAGCATGATTGCTTAGATATTCTTTAGCTTTTAATTATCCTTTGAGCTTAGCGTGAAAAATCTCATCTCATGTCTTGTTTGACTTGTTAGAGTACGATGACTCGAATTCTATTCGGTCCGATTCGAAAAGCTCGCAGTGTGACATATGTTGTGAAACCAAAATTATGATAATTTTTTGGGGATCTCCGGTGATAGCGTAGGGATCGAGACGAAAGACCCTATGAACCTATTTTATTACTCTCTCACACAAACACAAATGTATTTAAAGGTTTCATTATATTATTTGCTGTAGTCGTCAAAATGCTTATATCTTGTATTCATTTTTGATATGGTGGAATTGTCTTTCTCTATTCGTAATTATTTTTTTATCGTCAAGAATTTCCACGTAATCTTTTACAATCATTGTCTACTGATTCTATTACCTATTCTCACTTTTACACTTGTACAATCATTGTCCACTGATTCTTGGACATGGCTAATTCTTTACTCTTTCGGAATCTTCATCCTCATACTGTATTTACTTTTAAGATAAAATATCATCAGGCTTGCCCAACTTCCATTGATGTTTATTCATTGCTTAATTTTACCTTTTTTAATCTCAATTACACCACCATCATAATCACTAAAAGTAATAGCTGTCCATGTAAAATTGAAGAAATTTTTAACCATCACAATATTTTTCTACAAAAGTCAATGTAATATTGTGAGGAGGAAGAAAACGAAGAAGATGACGACGAAGTTGCACTACAGAGTCCAATTTAAATCTTCATCTCTCTTTCTTTTACTTCTCAAATCTGATGATGTACTCAATGTGAATCTTTTGTTTGTAATATTGTAAAACAAATGAGTATAAAATTTTCTATGATATGATGTGGAAAAAAAATATAATTGAACGACACACCTAGAGGCGTCTAATGCGAAATCAATAAAAATCAACAAGTTAATTTATTGTTTCCAGAAGATTAAGTTTAAGTCAATTTAAACCCTAAGTGCCAATCATTGAATATAGATCAAAAGCATAAAAGTAAATAACATCAAATTTGATAACGACGAAAAGCTCCTTGAAGAACTGTTCACATGCATCAAAACAATAGTAGACTCTGACTGCCTAACCTGTAAATCATCGAAGAATCTCTTCGATTGTGCCATCTGCAGTTTTCAGAACTTTGGACTTCTTTTCCCTCCGCGTGATCACGAAGAGTGAACTCTTTTTGGAACAATTTCAGCCGTCTCTTCCAAACTTCAGAACTCCGAAAGCTTATTGGTGAAGGTAAATGTTTTTAGTTTTTGATATTTGATCTTTTGTGTTTTGATTTTGTGATTGAATTAAGAGATTTATGAAATTAATGTTTGATCTATAGGATGTTCTTTTGAATGAATAATAGAATAATGCTATTTTTCATTATAATAATGAAAAATCGGGGATGTGGCAATTTAGGTGGAATAATGAGATTTGACAGTTCAATCCCCCCTCTCTCTCTCATGAAATTTGAATTGTCCTATCCCCACTATTCCACCTATGTTGCCACATTATCGATATTTTATTATTATAATGATAAATAAAATTATTCTGAATAATAGCTTAACCAAAGTAACATAGATAGTTTGGCACGAATTATGGCTTGGGTATATATAACATGAAGTGGTTGAGGTTCTAAGATTATAAAATCTACTCAAAATTGCGAACTAGGGTTGGCCATATAAATACATCACTCGACCGGACTCCCTCGCGGCTAGTGAGCAATAAATCCATCGCTCGAGCGCTAGGTATCACGTAGCGAGTGGTCATGCTTTTGCTTTTTACGCTTGAGCTGGCAGAAGCAGTCATCTAGCTGTTTTACAGCTATTTCTTCCCCTCGGTTCATTTTTGACATCTTTGACTCCTTCAAGATTTAAACTACTAACCTCCAACTCTTTTGCCTTTAATTACAACTCAATAACTATGATTTTGAATACAGGAATAGCAAATTACAAATTAGAACCTAACAAACTTCCTCTTTGGCATTTCGTGACAAATTAATTTATTTCAAAATTAAAATCAACACAACCTAACACTAATACCCTAAAGACTCAATTTCCAAGCTTCAACTCAATAGCTTGTCATACCTGCTTCCTGAAGTTTCTGAAATCAACAATACCACGTATAAAAGCAAGAGAAAACTAACAATTAAGCACATAACTAAGTTATATAAACAATGCAAGAAAAATATGTGTAATACCAAAATATGTAATACCCACATCAATAACTTAGAAATTAAACCAGACATGATGAGATATAGAATATCAATATCAATATTGGCAAAATACTAAACACAATATCAATATTAGCATTCCATCTCAAAATAACTGCCTATAACTCAACAATGTCTCAACTATTCCCCTTAAATTATAGATTAGATAACTCCCCTAAAATGAAAATTGAAATAAGTACTTATTTTCTTGCAAAAAACAATTCACTAGAGAAGATAACTTACAGTTAGTCCAGATGCAACTAAACATTAGTAGACTCTGATCACTCAACCTGTAAATCACTAAACAACCTCTTCGATTGTGTAACCTACACTTTTCAGAACTCT